GGAAGCTGTCAGGTGACATCCCGCTTCCCGTATTAGTCACCAGGACAATGACATTTGCAGACTCCTGTAGATTTAGAATTACAATTTCGCCTTTGCCGTGTCTGACGTTGAGAAGAATGCGCATAACAATACTGAATGGCAAAAACGAAAGCATATCTCCACGGTGTCACCCACACTTGATGGGGGAACCGCTGAAATGCCTCTCCTTCAACTTTGACTGCAAACATCGTTCGTGCCGATATCCCTTCCATATGGATGAGAACTCTGTGTCGAAATGTCTCATCGGATTGCAAGATCGTTTACATCCTTGGGCAATTTAATGAATCAAAGGCAGCCTTAAAATTGAGGAAGCTGGGAAACATTTCAAGGCAACTGGAATTGTCGGCATTGCTCAATGATTGATGCTCAGAATCATCTACTCTTGATTGGTTGCAACACGGCGAATATGGATTTGAAAGATATTTTGCTAACCGTATATAAGTTGCCACGAAGTCGACGGATCTGCGGACCTGGTTCTCTCAAGTTTTCCAGCTACCTATCTACATCACCTCGCTACTGTATAGTTTCATACATTTTCAGGTTTCATACTTCTGTCATACGCATAAACTCACAGTTTAATACGAAATTGAAGGCTCAGTGCTGCAGTCATCAGAGCAAATCAAATTTCTAATGAGCGAAAATAATGTAATTTTAAACACATGGCAAATTCGCAGTGGTTCTTGACACAAGCAAAAGCACAGGCGGCAAATTCTGTGTTTGATGTGCTGACATTGTAGTCAAGCAACATTGCGACCGACATTATCCATTAAACCGTGAATATTATTTATGCTGATAACTGAGCAGGCTACAAACCCTATTTTTTGACAGTGGTGAAATGTAGACTTTAATGATATATGAGTTTAGAATTAATTGCTACTGAAGTCAAAAAATTATCTTCGATGAATGTTCCATTGTGTATTAAATTTTTACGTTGTTTTGTCGACTCTTTATATGAACGAAGCAACGGATATAACACAAATCAGTGGCGTTTCAGCCTCATACTTAATTACGCTTATTCGATTATGATACGACAGAGTAATGAAATTAACGATAATAACTGAGCTTATGTACACTTTATTTACATATTTATTGTGGACACAGTAATGGAAACTGCATTTATATTGTCCTTGGGAATGGTTCTAAATTTTAGCAAACACGTTGATTCATAAAGCAATTTTTGTTCGATGGTAAATTAATCCATTTTAGTTTTTCTGTGAACCTTTGTACGGGGCCTTCAGAGGAAGAAGATATCGTTTTACACATAAATTACCGTATTAAAGACAAGGCGATCGTCTGCAATTCTTTAAAGGATGGAGTTTGGTTACCTAAAGAAGTTCGGTTCAAAATTTCAAATAAAGTTGGAGACAAGTTTGATTTGAGAGTTAGATGCCACGATGACAAATATCAGGTAAATTATTCCCCTCGGTCTGATGTATGATGTATGTATCTAATTTTATTCTTAGATATTTTCTGACCATAAAGATCTTGGAGAATTCAAACACAGGCTTGCGGTTTCGTCTGTGAAGTACCTGCGCATCAAAGGAACTTGCGACTTGAAAGCAGTTCTCTGGGAAGGAAACTACTACGTAAACGATGTTGCTGCGTTAAGCACCGTATATGCAATTGACTTTTGATTTCAGTCATGTCCGTACAGAATGAGACTAGACGGCATGAGTCCTGGCCGCAAACTGTTTGTCAGCGGAGTGGCGCATGGAAAGCGATTTGCCGTTAACTTCTGCCACAACGACGACGTTGTTTTTCACTTCAACCCGAGATTCGACGAAAAGGTAAGAGCAATCGGTCGAACCGCTGTGCGAGCGTTTAAATCGCTGTTCAGGCCTTTGTGCGCAATATCCGCATGAACGGCGAATGGCAACAGGAAGAACGTTCAGGAAAGTTTACCCTGGAGAAAAAGAAGGAGTTCGATCTGCTGTTTGTGTGCGAGGCTGACGCGTTCAGGGTATGGCGACAGCCTAATTTTTGCGGGCGGTTATCCATGATTTTCAGGTGTTTGCCGATGAACTTATGGTGTGCTCGTTCGTGCATCGCTTTCCTCCGTCCAATATCAATGCCATAGAAATCGACGGTGAACTGGACCTGCAGCTGGTCCACTTCGAATAAATGGCTACTCCGCATTCATTCCGTGATCCATATTCTTCGCCACGTTCATTTAATCTGGCTTTACAACACGTGCTTATTAGTTCGCTAAGAAAATGTAAATGTTTACATTTAGGGAGAAATTCTGCTATCCATATTCTTTTGTATATACGTTTATTGCCAATTTTTTGCAAACAATTTACACTGTACGCTAATTTGCGTTGTAAGCCTTTATGGAAAGAAATCGAATAAAAATTAAAAATCCAGTTACCGGTGCTGTTTCGCATTTTCAGCACTATTCTTCACAGTAGTTATGCTTGACATGGATTTATAACCAGATTTCATTATTCAATTTCACGAATGTAAAATAATGCATCAGATTCTTTAATGGCTCTCGTGTTCTGAATTGATCTCCACTGATCCATTGTTTCACCCTTTCATTTCTAAGCAATATTTTTTGTAACTGGTAGGGCTTTGTCAGCAATTATGCATCAATCCAAATTTAGTTACTGAAAGCACATATACGTAAAGTCAAGAGGGAGCAGGGAATATTCATGGAGCAAGCAAAAACAGACAGTTCAGTACTTAAATACACTAAATAGCCATTGCAGTTTTCAAAACGGTTTCATTAATTCACAGTTAGTATTCACGGTGTATCCCATTGTTGAACAAATTTTCTTATAAGGCAAAACACCATTTAACAAAAAGCTTAATAACGATTGCAAACTCGGCCGTTGCCGGTCTCACATCTGGATGAGAAAGGAGTATGGCTAAGGACAGTGGCGAATCCCTGTTAAAACTTAGCTACCTGCCCTTTGTATGGTATTGACGTCATCGAAAATTGTACCGGCTCGGTCGTGACCCGGAATACCAAAGTCCGCGAAAGCTGTCGAAAGTTTGCGATCAAAACCTGCTCATTTCCTTCTGGCAGCGTAGCAGCACAACAACGGCTGCCGAAAATCAATAATGAAGATACCAATCAGCAAAGGAGTGCAACCCGTTCTGAACCGAGGAGGTAGACGCGATGCTGTTATAGCACCTCAGAAAAGGCTTCACGAGAACGACACCGCCAGTGGGAGCTTACTGTCGGAAATTGCAATATATCCTCAATGAGAGAAAAAGAGCAAGAGTTACTTGATGAGGCCGTCAGGTACTAACTGGACATAGATTCTTGTCAACGAAACGCTAAGGCTCTGGAATACTGAACCTCTGTGAGGGTGCAATCTACTCTACTGAGATATCGACATCAAAACGCGCGCTCAGATATCCTGGTAAAACTCAACATCGCTGGCAAGATCACTGAACTGAAACCAGAAACTGCAGCAGACGTTTACCAATTAATGAGAGGGTGCAACTTATCGTGCCATTCGAGCGCGTTTACGCTAGTCTCCCTAAATCAAACGAAAGACTGATTCAAGAAATTCTCGAAATGTACGGTAGTTATGGCAAAGTTTCATGTACTGACGATAGAAGAGTCATGAGAACAGAATATATGTAACTTTAGTTCTCCGAAGACGAACCTTTGAGTCGATTCCTCACTTTAAACATATACTATCTGACAGTTGCTCATCACTCGCTAATGTACGTTTCTCCGTCCTCACTTCTTCTGGCACTGCTCTGAATCAACGGACGAAATTCGGCTGTCACTGTGATCATCAGGTTTCATTTCTTAGGCTGGTGATGAAAGATATTGCCTTTACCACTGCAGCGAACTTTACATCTGAGATGCAATTTGAGATACCATTTCTAAAGAACAAATATAAATTTGGGTTACTCTGGTGTTTTAGCTCTGTCGTAGTATGACGACAATGACACAACAATAACTATCATAGCACGTCTTCAGTGGCAGAAACCATCAATGCAGCAGACACCGTTGGCTTAGACTCTCGAGTACGAACTGTTCTTGCAGAAGTGTCTGAAAACTGAGCCAAAACCTGAAAAATTTCTATGCCACACACTGTTTTATAAAAAATGGACTTGAGTGGAAAACGAAAAACATGAAAAAAACAGGTTTCAAGTATGTTATTTACTTTTCATCGTACCATATAAACGTTAAAACCTAATCAGCGCGTATAAAATAGATGAGAAACACCAAAAAACCATAAACACTTTCGAAAAACATATGATAGACATGTTCAGTTAGATCAGCGGATGGATTCTAATGTAATTCAGCATTTGTATGTACTTTGAAATTCCGTAAGAAAGATGAACAGTAAATGTCAGAATTGACAATGTATCATTGGACAACATTAGCTAAAAATTCTGTTTTTCAGTAGACAGTAAAGCAATGTTCTGAAATTATTTAATGAATAAACGAAGGTGAGAATGAAAATAAATAAAGCCATAGACTAGCAAAATTATGATCAATCGCTGAGTTATTGTGCGACAGTACCAACGTAGAACAGCAGATTTTCAGTGGTGCTCGCAGATCGTTGCAAGGATTCCGGAGTAATCAACTTTAACAAATAACGGAATTTCTAAAGAAATCATGTAAAGGTGTGGGCTGGGCGAACGACGATGCAAAGCAACGGTCAGTTCTATACTTTACATGAAAAGTATTTCATTTCTGGACTAAACTTGAAATCAGTGAAAGTTCTGAAATGTGAGAGCATGCATATTTAAGCAATATATGCCCGCAACTTCGTAGTCGTTTTAGTGCATTCATAACATCCTGAATCTTATATCATTGCCGATATACTATTGGGGTCAGATTATTCAGCACGGTTGCCATATTATTTTTCAACTGCCTCAAACACGAGAGTTGAGAAATGATACCAATCAATATGCTTGTTAAATAACTTAAAATGATGCATAAGTTTATCAGCTGTTGAATTCGAGCTGTCAAGCGCATTTATGTTACATTTCTGCTACTGGCGTTAGCTTGACTATGCATGAAACAGGTGCATCTCGAACGTCGCTGGGCGAGGAATATCATTTTTGGTAAAAATGGAAATTCTTTATGATACATCAACGCGTAGCCAATTGACAAATATGATTTTTTACTCATAATACGTTCTTGACAAGATTTTGCTAACCGCCCTCGTTTGTTTACTTCATATTTAAAGAACTTCAACCAAAGTAAATCATTTTATCAATACTTACGGCCTGCTGCAATGCATTATGCAAAGAAAGGGATTATAACTAAGTTCGGTAAAACTCGATCAGTTTATCGCACTTATTATATATGCTGCTGCAGCTACAGAGGAGGAAAAGGAAAGAAGCGTGTGAATGGAAAGCGGGACACATGATTTCTTTCTTCAGAGAAGAAGGAGAGTTGTTCATTTAATCGCAACTGAAACATCAATGAAATGTCTAAAAAACTTTTTCCATATTTTTCTTGCTGCAAATGATAGAATCAAAATACCTACTAACTTTAAGTTCTTTCTATATACTTAAAATTTCCTACTAAAGGGAAGACAAATAGATAGAGGCAGGGTACAGAAATTAGACATTTGAAGACGTTATATCAAATCACTCAACTTTTGTGACGAAGAAAACGCATTGTGAAAGATAGAGCGCAGCAGTGCCGTCACTCTGTTGGAGAGCAGGCAGTGACATTATGAAGGCGGAGTTCTCTAAAATTTGATTGGCTGATAGCTTAATACGGAAGGCTTAACCCAGATGGTCATGTTTGACAATTTGAATGAAAGTAAAAATTAATTAGTCAGGTTCATCTTGCAGATCATTTTTAAAACCGTAACCTCTGAGTAACGTGTTTTGCTCGTCGATCATCTGTTGAACAGGGTTTGAAGTTTTTCGGCTTATTGTTATGTCGTTTTAGGCTTGCGTCTTTAGAATTTGCGCGTTATTTGTATCCTAATTAAGAATGCTTGTTTTCTCTAATAGAGAGTTACAGTGCATTAATTAGAGGTATCGTGGTGATTTTGAGTGTTGAAGCAGTCGTTCGGCTAAGCATGCGTTTACTCAGAGTTATTCGTCATCGATTAAGCTTGAAATTATTAATTGTTCGGTCATGATGATTCATAGGAATTGGGTTTTGATTTAATGAGAGTTAATTAGACGGTTAATTCTAACCAAATGCCTGTAGCTGTCCGATTGTTTGGTTCTGAATTCTTTCTTAAATAACTTATATATTTCTTGAGAGTTCCTGTATTTTCGTCATAATTTGGATTGTCAGTAAAATTCTGATGGGTCATGGGCGGTACTACTCTTAACTTGATCTGGAGGGAAAGCATCATGCCATGGTGTTAACTTAAACATCTGAAGGAACGATCTACTCTCACAGAATTAGTCGTCCACATTTTCGCCAGTTTCTACTTGGCAACGCTGTCGTCTCATCTCGCTTTCCTTACATACAGTATCGTTTGTTTTCTCTCAAGAATAAGTGAGGAAGCGTCCTTTGTAAAAGTTAGCTCGTCATTCCTCCCACCTGATCGTTACTTAGCAGTGGGCTACGGAACCGTTGTTAGCTAATCACTGACAAATCTGCAGTTGCCTTTAAAGCAGATTTTTTTTAGAAAAAAAATGTTGGAATCACGTCTTTGTGTGCACCCGAAGAATGGGCGATTCATCACCATATTGTCCTGTAGGCATAAGTTAGCATTCAGCTTTTGAGGCCAGTGAAGTTGCTTCAGGCTTAAGCGGCTAAACGTATATTTGTTTCAGATGAGAATGCCAGATGGGTGAACCAGAAGCGGTCAGAGAGAACGACAAAGAAAAACAGAAGAGCAACGATGGCGAAACGGTGATGAAGAACAACAGCAACTGCTTCGTTGGTCTTGCGGACGGCCGTGGTCTGTCGCTGAAAAACCTCGTCAACCCGGTGGTGTCGCTAGGTCGGCAGAACCTGTCCAATGTCAACGGTCCTAGTTTTGTGTACGTGAAGCTGAATGTCGGTGGCTCGCTGTACTATACGACCATCAGCACGCTGACCAAGCAAGACTCGATGCTTCGTGCCATGTTTTCTGGGCGTATGGAGGTGCTCACCGACTCAGACGGATGGATCTTGATCGACCGTTGTGGCAAGCACTTCAACCTCATTCTCAACTATCTGCGCGATGGCGCCGTTGCGTTGCCCGATTCTAGGCAGGACATCAGGGAAATCCTGGCTGAAGCCAAGTACTATTGTCTTCAAGTACGTTTTTATCCACCTATCTTTGCTTAAGGCAGATATGAAAATCAACACCTCGTAGCGACAAATCCACGTGCTGAATATGTTTTTAACTTTTGTAATACGTCACTGTATATGAATTCGTTAAATCGGCACTTCGGTAGTTGTAGACAATGAATCAGAAGATGGTAGTTTCAGGCAAATTATATTGGCCATCCTCATGGCTGGAAGCTTTTGTCTTTGCGATGGATAATTTAGTTTCACTGAAACATCGGCAGTTATATATGTAAATCTAGGGACCTATTGTATCGAGTAGCTTAAAACACATTTGGTTGCATTGTTCTTTTTTTGGTGGCGTGAAAATATTTGCTTTGATTTGTCTGCCAAGCTTTTGTATATTACACTTCTACGCGTCATTAATATATATCAGTTTCTTACGCGTTGAAAACTGCTGAGCGTTCCCAGTCAGTGGTAGTTCGAAACACGAAATAATGAGGTCACAAATGCTATGAAAAAAGAAAATATTTTCTGGCGAATGGGAATCCGACCTTGCACTTATGTAGTAGACGTCATTTTGTAATATAATTATTTCATAGGCTTGTTAGAATGGTATAAAATACGTTAGAACTATCGCATACCAGAGCGAGCCAATATGGAGTTTTATTATTGCCGAATCGTTTCTGTTCTTGTACTGAATATAGAAACCATTGGTTAGCTGAGGACCAACGGTAAAAGTTTTTTTCTACGCTTCTGTTGTAAATTTGTATACGGGAAAGAATATCTGACTACCAACCCGGAAGCAAATTTTAAAGTTGCTTTTCTTATTTCGATTATGAGTAACAACCTTGGTGTTATCCAGTTTTATTTAACTTTATCTAAACTCTCTTTAAACCACACGCGCCGCGATGTTTGTCAGATATCCTGATGGTATGATGCTGATCTCGGCTTTCCGGAAAGTCTCGGTTCAACGAATTCAGTTGCATCGACGAAACAAACCAAGGAGTTCGAGACAGCGATTCGCTGATCAGCCATAGGAACAGTGCCCAGTTGAGATGCGTCATCACTGACACCCGTTCAGCACGACTACAGCAATTTATTATAAAGGAACATTTGGTCCCATGCATACGCACCGTCAAATATTCGGTTGTTACTTGAATGAATTTAGAATGACCTGAGCAAGTTACGACTTAGAGGTTCGTAAGCATAGCAAACAAACTTATTTAGTTTTTGGAGACTATGACTAGTACTTGACAGTGAGATAGCTCATCTCATCGTGTTCGGCTGCCCGCTGCCGCAGATCACCTAGGCGCTAGTCCGGTTTCCCGACAAACAATTGTATCCTGCAGATTCCTCGTTCTCTAAAATGGATCCGTCCAAAATTATTGAGCGGATTCCATCAGCCAGCATTACCGAAATCATGAGGTTGGGACAGTCGCTAATTACGTATTTTAGCCACACGTTACACACGAGGTTCCGGAACGTGGAGATACGACCAACGCCATCTTAAGTCGCATCGCATGAGTTACATAGCCGGTTAGTCTTACCCTTTATTTCGAGGACACTCATTGACTCCGAAGAGTAACAGAGAAAAGTTATTGTGAATGGCCTCAGTTCGCGGCATTGAGGGCTAAGAGGATATTTTTTTTGTTGTCTGTTGTATTTTTTGTGGCGAGAATGCTGATTGCAACTGCGTTGACCAAGCGAATAGACTTCTTCTTTGCCAAAGTTATTGCTTATGTTTATTGTGAAGAAGTCATGACGGTATCTTTTTGTGAGTCAGTTATCACAGTGGATACGTTTATATCTTTGCAGTACAAACAGTTTTACCAACGTGCATTCCATTTTTGCTCACAGAGGCTAGGGCGCATTTTAATTGTGCGACAGGTTCATGCTGTTTGACCAGCTGAAGTGTCCATGCGTCGTGCATCGCAGCCTGAGTCTGACTTCTGCTGTGTGTAAGTTATTAATTATCAGTTATTCGCTTGAAATTTTATTCTTTTGCTTAGTTTCTAAGTGTACTGAAGCGTGAGCACCATAACTTTAATTGAAGTTTTATATGCATGTTTTTTAGACATGTAGCATGTCGCAGAAAGTTGAAACATCCGGAGTTTGTTGTCAAGGTCTATGTAGTCTTAAAACACTATTTATTTAACGTGTTATATGTTACGCGTATAAAACATATATATCTTATACAGATGTTTATTCTGTATGTTGTCATTCAGAATGGTGATCTGTCTACGTGGCGATACAGACTGAAATATATTTGCAATTCAGTGCATACCAGTATGAACCGAAATTAATTCGCTGTCCATTTCGACTAGTAATCTATGGTTTTTACGATGTCAGCTCATAAGTCTAGTTAGCCTGAACCTAAGCCACAGCAGAAATTTTATCTTCCAGGAGACAGTACGAAAGGCTTAGCGATAGTCAATCCGGTAAAGCGTGAATCAATTTCGGTCTATCCGGATTGAATTAATTTAATCAAATACAGATGATACGTATAAATGCAAATATTTCAACAGGTAGGCAAATTGTGTTCTTAGATCAGAGTATGTTAATATAATGATCAAGTTATTTGATCAGCGGCTTTCACGACAAACTGTACCGACCCCTTGCTCCTAGTAGCGGAAAGGAGTGATTTAAGCGTGCCACCATTCAGTGCCATTTGCAGCATTAAACGCATCTCGCTTCATTTTAATCGCTTTTATTAGAATGATGTTTCATTGACTGGTAATTTTTACATGTTACGACAAAAATCAAAATATCGTTTCGTATGCTGGAATACTTTAATAGGCGAATGATTAGCCCCATTAATACTAATAGTGTATTTATGCATTATAACGAGCTCATTGTGTGCGAAGAATATTTCTGTGTGAACTACGTTTGTAAGCATCGTGTCCTCTGCGTACATTCGTTAGGTTTTAGGGACTTATCGATTTGTGCCAAAGCTGGCTAGATTCGTCGCAGTCGGCAGAGACAGCGGTCATCTGCCGTGTGCCGATCATTGTAACGGCTCGCGAGGAAAAGCTGTTGTTGCAGTCTACAAGCAAAGTACTTTTTGCCATTATTCTTTCAGCTGTTTGTTTGTAATATGTATAATGTTTACCGTCTCTGCTTTTGTTTGTAGCCAGTCATCAAGCTGTTGCTGAATCGCCATAACAACAAGTACTCTTACACCAGTCAGTCAGATGACAACCTACTGAAAAACCTTGAACTGTTCGACAAACTTGTGTTGAGGTTTAACGAAAGAGTGCTATTCATCAAAGGTGAGTAACGCTGTTTTTACCTGGGAATGTTACTTGTGAAAAGTCAGAAAGTTTGGACTTTGTATGGCAACAGTGTTCTCTAGTTCGTAAATGTCTCATTTTTCCCATGACTGCCTTTGACTTTATTTAAGGAACTTCTGAATAAGGTCATTCCTCAAAGTTGATTCATCACTTGCCCAAAACCAGATTCAAATCTTGACGTAAATTCGTTCATCTTGTGTCGGATCAAATTACCAGCATGCAAAGAAGGAAAGACATCAAAAAGCTATCAAACCGTAGCCGCAGCCGCTGAACGTGCAGGATCACTAGATAAACTAGTTGAAAATACATGATTCGGTCTTCAGACTATGTTTTAAATGGCTACATCGGTGACTGAAATGCTAGAACCTCTGTGATCAGTTACTAAGTGTAAAGCGGTATGAATCCAACATG